CTGCGGGAGGCGGCGGCGCTGGGGGACGCGGAGGAGGTGCGGAGGCTGGTGGAGCTGGGGGTCAGCCTCAACTCCCAGAACGAAGTCAACGGCTGGTAAGGCCCCTCCGCGCCGGCGGGCGTTGCTCCTGCGGTTCTCCCGCGCTAGCGCTGCCCTGGGCTCACTCTTCCACGCGCAATACGAACCCGTTTGAATTTAGACTGGAACTGAAAGGTCGATCGCGGCCAAGTACTCCTCGGGGTAGATAGATACCTCTCTACCCAAGAGGGAAAAATGGAGATGCAGCTGCTAACCGCCGTTACAAACACGCGGCCCCTCCCCAGCCCCTGCTTGGATCCTGTGCTGGTTGCTGCTTCCCCAGGTCACTGTGGTGGTACTTTACATTGCTTTTGTTTGTTTGTTGGTGGTGTTTTTTTGTGGTTTTTTTTCTTTTTTTTTTTTTGGTTGTTTGTTTTGTTTTTGTCTTTTTTTCTAGAGGGATATGTTTGCAGCCTGAGACAGCACAGGTGGTCAAAAGGCAAACCTCAGCTCACCAATATGTGCTCATGTCTAACCAGAAATATTTTTTTATTAACTCCTAAATCAGGTTTGAAAATCCTTCCCTTTCAAACAGGGAACTTGCAGCCTGTTTCAGTGATACATACAAATGCTTTGGTTCTGACACCTCATTCAGATACCACCTGATGATGCTAAAACTGAGACTTTTCAGCAATAGACACTTGTAGAAGTGGGACTCCATACATGAACACACACAATATGTTCTCTGAAGCAGGAATGCTCAAGCATTTTTGGAGACTGTTTACTCTAAGTTCAGTTCAGCCTGTATTTACTGTGCTGTATTGTGCTTGAAGTTGTAATTAAAAAGAATAAAATCAGGAAAAGAGCTAGTCTTTTAAAGATGCAAGCTTTGATCAGCAATTTTGAGAAGTGTGAGACACTTGCAACTTGAGGTTCAAAGTGTGATGATTAAAATCAGAACTTGTAAAAATTTAAGAGAACTCATTCATAAGATGTTGAATTATCTTAGTTTGTAAGATAAGCAGCTGCTTGTCATCCAGATGACTTTGTGTCTAAAACTGGAATTGATGAAAGAAATATAAAATATAATTTTTTTAAAAATAATGATCTGGTCATATTTAACTATGGCAATACATGGGTCCTCACTGTTATTTAAGTTTACTTGTAGAATTTAAATTTCTCCAATGACCTTCTCAGTATCTCTGATGCTAGGAGGTGCGGAGTACTTATGTTCTGATGCGTGCTGGGTCCATGGTAGCTGGTACCGTTCTGCATGAGACCACGTGAAATGGTCAGGATGGATGCCAAAGTGAGGCCAGTGCTACTGAGGCTCTGTACCTCTGTACAGACTAAACCTGCAGATTTTGCCCTCAGAGCAAACACGGCCACATTGTCTGCGCTTTTTCCCACCACTTTGGTCCAACCTAGTTTATGACTTTGCAATGCACAACTTCTGAATTCATGCAGGCTGTTCACACTCATGGAAAGTCCAGAACACGCTGCACAGAAAAACTAAACCAACCTGGTGTGAGTTTCGTGGAGCCTGTCTCAGATTCTGTCGGATCTCTGATGTTAAAATTCAGGAATACTTTTGGCTGGAAAGATTCTTTTATCCCGTTTAAAAATGGTACTTTCTAGCTGAAATGCAGAGCCCAGTCATAGAGAGAACACAGGATTGTGCAACGTTGCTAGCAGTATCACCTCTGAAACAGATTTTGTAGCACCCTTCCTAGGATAGTCTATGAAGAAAAATGATATGTGTACATACACTTAGATTGACATCTCTCCAATTAGATTCTAATTCTACATAACCTCTCGCTGCAGTGACTAGTCACATTACCTTTAATTCAGAGATACTTTCTGCCATCAAGATGCATTAATTTTAATAAGAAGGAACTGTAGAATCGAGCCTTTTGTTTCTGGTATGATGGGTTTAATTAAGTCAGAATATATACGATGAATGAGGTTTTGCAAGTTGCCTTGTCTTCTCGGATTTTCCTGATTTGTATCCCTTCAAAGATCAGATTCTCTCTTTTTTCCCTTACATACTTCTACAGAAGAAGACTTAAAAGAGCAGAATTTTATATATAAAGTTAGGAGTTAATGCTCAAGATACAACTTTGAATTCTAATGACTGTATCTTAAAAAAACACCAAGAAAACCCAAATGGAAAAAGCTTTTTGGAGCTGGACTTTCAACTGAAACATTTTTCCCTTATAAGTTCATTATTTATCTCTATTTCATGTAATTCTTAAAAAATAAATAACAAAACTTGGAGAAGGGTTAAGGGAACACACTTCTGAAGAGTTTCCTTCAGCTGGAGCTAGAGAATTAAAATATAAAAGCTAGAGAAAGATTAAACGTCACTAGAACCTGGGATAGGGAAGAATGGCAAAACTGCATAGTGAGTTATAATTTCTGTCTAGGTCCCTAACACTAAGCACTAAATAAGCTTTTAGGATATTTCTTTACTATGTCTTTCTAGGTCAGCAACTGCACATAATAATTTTTAAAAATAGAAAAGTGATTAGTTCTGTGCATCAGTTACAGATTGCAGAAAACTTTATCTGCAGGTGAAAGCCTGGAATTGCTGGTGCAGCGAATAGCAACTGGGCACAAAACTGTGCTTAGAAACTATGCTTATTTTAAACATCATTTACTTACCAAAAAGTGCAAGTCATTGTGCTGACAGCATTAACTAAAGAGTAAAAATAACATCCTAGGTATGTATCCCTATTAGCTCACGTATACGCACACACAAGTGTTTTAAGTAAAACTTATTCTTTCAAAAATTACAACATCATACACAAGCTTTCTTTTTATATTTATTTTTCCAGAAAAGTTAGTAGCCTAATAAATGACAAATTGTAAAGATCTTGAACTCTAAAAATACTACTACAGTAACTTGGTATCAAGAGTATTAGAGCAAGGGAAAACTAGATCAGCAGGTGTCACTGCAGGCTCCAAACCCAGCGTAAATTTCCAAGGGAGATTGCAATTAAAATCTTTTTTATGTAGACTTGCATTAAGTCTTGTTCTTGTCATAGGCAGCAAGAATGAGTGGAAATTTATCTGCTGTAATTTAAGATTTCAAACAATGTTAACATTTTCCATGTGCAGGACTTGTTTGCACTGGGCATGTAAACGGAACCACGCTGCAGTGGTGGCTTACCTGCTGCAGGCCGGCGCTGACAAGGAGATCCTCACAAAGAAAGGAGAAAGGCCAGCCCAGTTAACGTCAAAGAGAGAGATAAGGAAGATGTTGGGAGGTAAACCTATTGGCTATGTGGTATGATCATCACAGACTAGTAAAAGATTGTTTAACTCATGTATGTTCCAACCTTGCATGTGAAGATAGTGTGTTTGGATTTTAGTAATAACTGTGACTTGATTTCTAGAGTGTTTACAGGGTAAGAAGCCAAAGTTTAAGAAAAGAGGATTACCAACAAATTCCATATACAGCTAGCCAAATTTATTTCTAAATTAGAACAGTATTTTGAAAAATACCATGATTAAACCAGTGACAGATAGATGCAGTTTCCTATTTTCAAAAGGACAACAGGAGAAAATCTCTCAAATTTGTGTGAAGCCCTTATATGAGCAACATCTAATTTTCCTGATGTTCTATGGAGCTTAGACACTCTCTTGAATAAATGGAAAATTAGCAGCCCGAGAAACAGCTCATCAGAGGACATTGGTAGAGCACTTTTATCATATTTTGTAACTGTTAGAGCGGAGTAGGCATTGCTGCTAGAGGTGATAAGTAATTTGAAATGTGGTCGATTAACAACCTCTTTTCTCCCCTTTGTATTCCCTTGTCTGGTTTTGTTTTCATTATTGTCTCCCAGCTGTTGAATTGGTAATGTTTCAGCTCTCCCAGTACTGCGTGTTCTTTTCGCTTTATCCCCTGCCTTAATATCGAACAACATATTATCCTTTGTTTTTCATTGCCTTATACATTATGAAGATGATTGCATTATACAACCAGAGACCATGTGCTGGCTACGGATTAAAACAAACCAAACTGAAGTATCGCAGTGTTTAGAAGCAAATAGCACCTCCAGAATTACTAGAATCAGACTCTGCTTTTGTGTTTACTGTATTGCAACACCTGAGCACGGTTCTGTTTACTGTAGAAATAAAAGGCATAGTGCTACATGATTCATCTTTTAACCTGTGATGCTTTTAACACTCCGCTCCCTCCCCATTAAAAGAAAAAAACCCAAGCAACTAAAACAACCAAAGAAACACCACAGCACAATAGCAATACTTTTTTTTTCCCCCTCAAATCAGTCTTGGATAATGTTGTTTTGTTTGTTTTACAGTGGAAGATGACGAACTCCCAGACTTAAGGAAAGATTCGGATCTGACAATCATCCCCAATTATCTGGCTAACCCACCTTTCCCTTATGTTTATAACACCATGAGTGACAGTATTCCAGATCCCTCCGTGAATGGGAGTGTCTCACACTTGGAATCGCAAGATAGCAACTCTTCTTCCTTATCTGATGTGGAGACTGACAGACGTGCGCCGTTACCACATGGGAACGCTGCTCCTGGGGAAGCTGGTAACGGGGGGCTGCCATCGCTGCCCAGAGCGGGTGCTGCACCCCCGCACTCCAAACCCATCCTTCAGAGGGGTCCAGTTTACCAGCGCTCTGTGTCTTGGAGCAGAAGTCCCCCTTCACCGGTTGGATCACATCAGTCTGTACCTCAGCAGGAGAATGGTTCCTGTATGGGGCCTGTGCCAGCATTTCAGCCGGTTTTCTTCACAGGAGCTTTTCCACTTAATATGCAAGGTAACAGTAAAAGTCTCTTCTCTTTTTGTCTTAGAACTGCTGTCATCTTGGACAGTGAAAATAGACTAATTAGGATGACATGTATTCACAGCACTTCTAGAGATTTTCAGGTTCCCATGCTTAGGCATTCAGGAGACATTTGAAGGTATTAGAGAGGCAGATATCCTGCTTCTGCTGGAACTGTTATTAAAATATTGATGAAAACATTTGCTATTTGTCTCAAATTCTACAAAAGCATACAGACACCAGGGTCATCTATTTCTCTAAATAACATACTCTAAGCTTCAAATAAAGAATGTGAGCAGGCAGCCAGTGGGCTCAAGAGACAACCTCACTTGGCTCAATCTGCAGACCTGAGTCTTGAGGTGAACCATTACACGATCTGCAGGTAAATTTTGCCTGCTCAAAGAGAAAAATCTGGAATTTCAGTTTCAGTTCAGAATTTCATCCTTGAAATAAAAGGTTCTGATGCCATGAATTAGCAATGAGAAGCTAGCCAATGACCAAAAGAATCAAAAACCAATAAAAGCAATTTTGGATTGCTCAGGAAATTGATAACCAGTACAATCTGCTTTTAAATTAGCTTTAATCCAGTAAAATGGGTATTTACGCAAAGGTTCATACATGCACCACACACACTGGTTTAGACTTGTGGTGATTTTTTCATATAGGTTGATAAAAGTCAATCTAAAGAAAATTGTGGTCATACAAATCTAGTTGTTTGCTTTCTGAGGATTCTTGTTACAAATGATACAAAGAAGGTTAATAGAACATAGAAATATCTGGAAGTTAGTATAGAGATATCTTTTCCAATTCCTTTATACATCTGCCTATTAATGTACCTTTTTATTTCCAATAGAACTGGTGCTTAAAGTTAGAATACAAAACCCTAATCTTAGAGAAAATGACTTCATTGAAATTGAACTGGACAGACAAGAACTGACCTATAAGGAACTGCTCCGAGTGAGTTGCCGTGAGCTGGGTGTTAATCCTGAGCACGTACAGAAGATCAGAAAATTACCAAATACAATGTTAAGAAAGGTAAGAACTGCCAATTTTGAAGTGCAGTAACTTGATAAAAGATTTTTAGGTTACCATTACAAAGGAATAATTTATTGGTCACCTGCATAGGCCCATGTTGCAAAAAAACCTCAGAAAACCCCAACACCAAAACGGAAAACTTCCCTTCAACTTCTAGCACTCAGCAGTTTTGTTTTTTTTAGTAAAAAGGTTCTCAAGTTTCTTGATCATTCGGTGTTGAGCCCAATTAATACCTGATTACTACCTTCTTAAGTTCAGTGCAATACCACACCACTGTGATCTGCCACCAGCATTTAAAAGGCCTGCAGTACTCACCAGAGTTCAGGAAGGACTGTATGCGGTCCTTCCAAAAAACAGAAAGGTGTTTCAGGATTATTGTGAGCGCAGGCCTCTGAATGTAACTGTCTTCTCCCTTCAGTGACATTTACCTGTGCAGCAAACAGAAAATGGACCTGCTGACCTGTTTTACTGATTCACTGTTGACCTTTCTTTCACTCTCAGATCCCTCTCAAGCATTGTTGGCGTCAGTCGTGGAGCTAATCTGATTAGTACTAGATTAATAGACTTCACTGTACTGCATCTTCACTGACTATAAGATGACTTATTCTTTGTTAGTCAAGAAGTGAATTAAAAAAAAAGACATAAGCAATTCTGTCACTTGCCAATTTAGGTTGTTGTTGAAAGGACTGGTTTTATTTCCAGCTCTAATTACTTCAGGCTTTCTGGGTAGGACTGCAGGATACTCACTGTTCCTTGAGGTGATACAAAACTAATTCTATTTAATGCTGTTTAGCAGCAGAGTACTGCTGCAGAGGGGATCAGAGCTCGAGTCTCTACCCAGGGGGTGTCTTCCACTGCTCTCTAAAGACCTTGCCAAGGCCAGTGCTATGATGGTGCCAGGGCTGCTCTGGAGGAAGCTGCGTGCAGGACCTTCTTGGGTAGATGCAAGAATTAATTCATGACCTTCTAAGAATTACCCAGGGGGGAAAAAGAGGAGTTGGGGGTAGCATGTGGTAGATCTTGACAAGTGTAATTCCACTGATCACTTACACTCACCATCAGTGTTACATTCCTTCTAAAAATAGACTTGAGTTGCTGAATAAGATTCCAGAATAAATATGATGCAACAGGATGTCTGCTTTCCAGTTTACAGTAAAGAACTGTCATATTTATGGATATTTATAACATACCTTGTGTTAGTACAAGCCTATTATTTTAAATTACCTCTGCAAAATTGAACAGTTTACCACCTAACAATTTATTGTATTTATTTAAAGGACAAAGATGTGGCAAGGCTACAGGACTTCCAAGAACTGGAGCTTGTTCTAACAGTAAGCGACAAAAACTTACTTTTCAGAGTCTCAACACTATCTGAACGGAGTGGTTATAACAAGAAGGCATCAGAACTTACATACTAATTGTTTAAAGAATAAAACAAAAGATTTGTATTTCTAATTTTAAAATTACATTTGAAAGACAGTATCTATAAGGGCTAATGATGTGGAAAAATAATCTATTTTGTTAACCTTGAAATAAGCTAAATTTGTTATGCAGTTACAGCCTCTAGTTAATCTAAGGGTTATGAGTCTGATCTGAAAGTAGCTTAATGCAAGGGAAGTATTGGTAGAAATATCTGTTAATGCAACACTTTTCCTTACAAAAAGATAATCTTGAAATACTGCAGAGTTCGCAGCTCTCAGGGAAAGGCTTACCTTAAACTGTTCTACTAATTTGTTTGCTATAAAATAGCAGAGGTACTCAAGCTAAAGAACCTGCCATGAAATCCATTTAATCTTTGTACTGAGTCTATTACCATTAACATTCACTTTTTAGACCGTGTATTTTAAGTCATATCTTATTTAGAAGGAAAAAACCAGAAGGGTTTAAATCTGTGGAAGAAGCACAAAACTATGTCTAGTTTAAATACTATCAAGTGACTTATTACCTGTGATTTCTTAATCCCTGTTTACACTTTTCCCTATTTCTCAGGTTGAAAATAAAAAGTGATAGTAATTATCCAAATCATAAGTATGCTCTCAACCAAAATCCCTTTTATTGTTGTCTGTCAATACACAGTATCGACATGTGCAATTTAAAGTACTATTTTTGTTACTTTATTGACAACACATTTCTCCAATGCTGCTTTAATTTCCCCCTTTAAAAGCACAAAAATTGTAATTTTATTTTCCTTTTACCTTTACATTCCTGAGAAAGATTGCATCTTGAACCTTTAAAAGTTGCCTATGTAAAAAGAAACTAGTGAAATGCCCAGGATTTTCTGGGCTGATACAAAATCCTGATGTTCCTATGCAATAGATTTTCTTTTTTTCCCCAGTGACTTGTGTTTACCCATATTGTCAACTGAAAGAAACACCCTAAACTTTTATTTTCACTTAAAATTCAGAATTAGACTACTTTGCTATGAAATTCTGGAATAAATAAATTGAAAAGTACTTAAGAGCTGGGTTTTATCTGATTTTTTAGGATTTTATTATTTACTCAGTCATTTGCATTTGAAGAAGAGTTCTGTTCAGGTAGCCTAACTGTGAAGGTATGTACTATGAATTAAATGAATGAACTAAATTACAAGATGTAACAGGCAAACAGAAGGTACAAAACGGGACTGAATTTCCCTCTGTTTCTTCGTCTTCCCCCTTCCTTACCCCAGTTTCTTTGGAAACTACAGCAACCAAAGGATTTTATGGTCTTGAGTAAGAATTTGCAGTCCGAGTTAGCTGTACGCTGTATGTGGCCCTGTGAATGGGAGCTGTGGGCGTAGCATGCTGAGCAGGGAGCCACCCAACTAGCTGGAGGAGATGCTGAGGCTAGAACTGCACCTGAAACCCATACCGCCCCCGTGAGTCCCTCTGACTGGAGCTGGGTATCCCCCACAGCCCTGTCTCCTTTCTCCGAGGCTGTGGCAGGGAAAGAAAGAAGGTGATTCTTCCCCTGCAGTCAGAGGGGTCACCTGTACTACAGCTCATGCAACAGGACTCGGTGCCCAGCTTCACCCCTGCTCTCTCTTTCCCATCCAGTGACTAGCACTCTGCAAAGGGAGCAGCTTCAGCAGCAGTGACTGAGCACACAAGAGGGAGCCCTCTCCCAATCTGCCTTGTAGTCGGATGTCCAGTGTTCACCTGGAAGCACAGATCCATGCAAACACCCAAACTTCCTGTGTGCCAATTAACTAGACTGAAGCTCAGTCTCCTAAGACTAATAGTAGAACATTTTGTCACAATAAAATATCCTCTTCTGAAAAGTGTTCGAGGTCAAGTGTGGTCTGAGTCATTGGCAGTACCTGTTTATATACCACGTTGCTGGTGTATTAACCTCTGTATAATGGAATAATAGAATTGTTGTTCCTCGTATCACACTTTGTTGCATTCTCCCTGGCACCCAGAGCAGACAGGGTTTAGACATCGGCTGTCAAAACGCTGGCCAAATCCATGAAGGTACCAGGCTTCAGCAGTCAAACCTATGAGAGAAAAGCTCAGCTCTTGGCTGGGTGACTGTTGTTACACAGATATCTTGCACAGATGCTGATCGCTATCTATGCATTCTGAGGATTATTTTTATACCTTATGCAGTTTATACACAGAAGATACTATTAAGACTCCTAACAATCTGATCAGTGTTTAATCGTTACCTTACTGTGTATAATAATTCATTACTTCGTGCTCTGCTATATCAAATGTTAATGTCAAATGCTTGGCTGCAGATTCTTCTTTCTATTTAAGAAGTATTATTTGTAATAATTAATAAATGATTATTTTTGTCTTCTCAAAGTTTTTGTGAACTTTACTCATTGAAAAACATAGGAATTTTTTGTTGCCGGGTAGGTTTCTAGAGTGCTCAATGGAGGACGTGAACAACTAAAGCAGAACATGTTCTGTTAGATTCTAGCAGCAAATACTGTTTAAACACAGTACTCCCTTTATTTGAGAGGCTTGGTTATCAATAATAAGGTAGATACTTATTTCTGCAAAAGAAAACACATATTATTTCAGGTGAATAAATGCTGAATGAGATGAATTATATACACATCTGTTCAGCATCCATGTTAAGCTTAAGTGGAGACTTATTCATAGTGACTTCATACATAAGAGAGAGCAAAATTATAATACTTCTGTGCCAATCATGTCCCTGCAGGCTTATGTGGAGTCCAGTAAATTGGTAGAAATTGTGTAGTGAATGATTTATATTAAGCCATCTGTAGGTTTAGTTTTATATACACTTATAATTCTCCTGCTGAAGAGGAATTTTATAATACTGATGTGGCCCAGGGCAGGGCTACCAAAGGTCCTAGGCTGGCTCGCAGCCCTGAAGCCGTAGCATTCAGCTCCCTTGTCCTGGCGGAAAAACTAAAAGGAAAAGGTTGGAACCACTCAGAGATTACACATTACCTCACTATTTTTCAGCTGAGTCACTGCTTAACTGGGCCTGTCTTTCCACTTCAAAACCAATGAATCATTATGCAGAAAACACAAAAACCAGGTGTGTTTTGTACCATTAATATAATTTACTAATTTTAAACGTGAATACAGTACATATTGCCCTGTGATACATCCATTTTCTTGGCAGAATGTTTGGCATTCTTTGGGAAAAAAGCATATAATAAAATACTTTATGTATAAAGAAAATATTTAAAAATATAAAACTCACTTTATGGTCCTTAAAATTGTAAAATACTTTGTTCACATATCACAAGTTTAGTCTACTACAAAAACTGTTTTGTAAATTACAGTACATTCACAAGTCACTTTTGTGCCAAGTCAGTAATATTTAAAAAAAAACAAACCGAAAACCTAGGGGGTCTTCTTTTCATGCTAGTCCAGCATCTTTGGCCATACTGTAGAAAATACCCTTCGATGCTATAAGGCTTGCAGGTGTATCAAATTCAGCTATGGTTCCGTTGTCTAGAACAAGAACCCTGTGCAAAACAAAAGGTGGGTGGAGGGAAAGATATGTCAGAGAATTCCTCGCAAGAAACGTGATAGCCCTTTTTATCATCAGGCAAACTGCTCTAACCTTTGCCTTGCCTTTGTTTTGCTCAATTATTTTCACTCGTTGAAACACAGCAGATGATAAACATTCTCCCTGAGCTGCTGCTTGATTATAAAAGGTGCAGGACTATCTCCCAGGGGTAATAAGGGGGTAGGGTGGTGGGAGTGTCATACTGGTGGTTGAAAATACAGTACCAGAAAGCCAAGGAAATAACATCTCATGAAATATAGTAATATATTTTAAAGTAATTAATATGATATCATGTTAGTGAAAAAGTTACAGCAGCTGCTCATTTCAAAAGGATCCATAAGCTTGCAGCTGGGTAGGATCTCTTGTGTGGCTCTGGTTAGTGGATACAGAACCTATTTCTCATGCCAACAGAGGCAAAGTCAGGTCCGGATATTCTAGGATTATACATCTTAAACATCATTGCTTACATACTACCTGACAAGAGCATCAGTGTGACTATCTAGAAACAAACCAGATCCTTTTAAGTGCTGATTCATATACCCAGTAAACCAGTGAGCCTCCCCTGCCACTCACCATTGAGATTTTTACCTTGTGTAATCCATAATTGTGTTCAGCCTGTGCGCTATTGTCAGCACCGTGCAGTCTTCAAACTGGGTCCTGATTGTCATCTGGATAAGATCATCTGTCTCGAGATCGATGGCCGCTGTCGCTTCGTCCAGGATCAAGATTCTCGTCTTGCGAAGCAGCGCTCTTGCCAGACAGATGAGCTGCCTTTGGCCAACGCTGCAAGCAGAGACAGGGCTTTCACAAACGACACCCCACTGCCCTTAGCTCCCCACTGCTCAGAATCACTCGTGCTAGAGCAGATTTACTCATCAGGTAAAGTTACCAAACAAAAAAAACAGTATTTAGCAAACAGCCCGAGTGGCAGCCCTAGAGCTAATACACACACACTGCAGTGTCACTTAGCGTTATGTGTTCACTTAACTGCCTGACCCAGTACTGACAGAGCCAACAAATGCCCCCTTTCTATCACTGTGGCAAAAGTCAGGGAAACTCATGATTACAATGCTTCTGCCTTGTTTTCAGAAACACACAGAGTTGTAACAACACTGAGCATATGAAAACTTTAACCAAAAAAAGAGAAAGAAAAACAATATTCTGAGGCTGTAAGTCCTTTTTACCACCTAAAAAAATAATGAAGTATCTGGGCAGCCCACAGTTCCTCCCCTGCTACAAACGCACCCCAGAGACAGGCTCCGTCCGAGTGTCTCTGCAGGATAAGGAAGGAGCTGAACATTCATCACATACATAATGTGGTTACCCCACAGTCTCAGAAGCCAATGCAGCTTATCAAAGCATGGCTTTTCAGCATCCCCATTCATGTCTTCAGGGGTCTTCCACATAATAATGGAAAACCGACATTGCTAAAGTATCAGTTTAGGCAGAGGACCCTTATTCAGCACAGCTGTTACATACCATGGTTAAGGGACTGCCTACTCCTAACACCCTGTCATCCCGAGACTTCCTTCTTTACTGATAAGACAGGATTTTGCTTTGGGAGAAATCCTTCCCCACAGCAAAGAAGAATCAGATCATTTGTGGCAGAGACAGATCTGTCAGCAAATGTTGGTGCCTTAGTGGTTTTCTTGAAACAGGAATAGGTAACTAAATAATTTCAGACACAACAGACTACAGTGTAAACCTGTGCTCAGGTGTTACTCACCAAATGAAAGCTCAGTGTATGTTTCTAGTTCAAGCATTCCTTACCTAAGATTTTCTCCACCTTCTGAGCACTCATAGTCCAACATGGATGGCTGACTGCTGACAAACCTCTTCAGGTGAGACAGTTCAAGAGCTTTCCATATTTCTTCATCTGAATACTTATTAAATGGATCCAGGTTCATCCTCAGTGTTCCAGAAAAGAGAACTGGATCCTGGATATAAAACCAACTTTCTTAGACAAGTGCTTCAGCTGTTTTAAGCACAGATATTATGAGTTACTGCTCTGAAGTCTCCACTGCATTGCAAGTAGGCCATCTCCCAATCCCATCCACTCTGAAAATACAATACACACTCAAAACTCTAGTTCCAACTGTAAAGATGGTTTATCCTAAATCCTGTTTTATCACCCCGTGTCAACTTAAAAGGTGGCAGGACACGACCACTTAAAGTATAAACAGTTTGTTTTTCTGAAACAATTTTCTGAGTGTAACAAAGCTTTTTCCTCTGTGGATAAACCACTATTTATGGTTTGCTAAGCTGTTAGAGATTCTTCCTTTACTGTGATACACAGAAACAGTACCTGAGGAATAATTGTTAGCCTCGATCGAAGGTCGTGAAGGCCAATCTCTGAAATTTTTACACCATCAATTTTAATTTCTCCTTTTACAGCTTCCAGGATCCTAAAGAGACAGAGCGTCATGGAGGACTTCCCTGCTCCAGTTCGGCCAACAATTCCAATCTACAACAAATTGCAGGTTTAACAACAAAGCATATAGTTAAAACCGAAACAAAACCCAACAAAAAAACCCCAAACAAACTTCCAAGTTTGCTCTAAGTCTGATACAAGATCTGAATCTCAGAGAGAATGTAACCGTCCTTCCCTAGAAACCCATGTCGTACACTGTAGTGTATATATTGCCATTCCCATAATTTGAATGATATTGCACATAAATATGTACGTAGGCCTAGAGCCATCTGACATAACTTTGGGTGATTAGCTGACATACACATGCTAGGAGTCCAGTCACTCAAGAGCAAGAAATAAATACTTTTCAGAGGGTAATTCGGGCTTCAATGTAAGCACGTGTACCTCCATTCCATAAGGCGGCTGTCATCCTGCCTGCTTAGTATAATTCTCTTCTCTTTTAATAACAGCCTGTTAAAGGAGGACTTTCCTATGCTAATTATTCTGTACCAGCACACAAACCCCAGAACTTTCTATCAAAGCATGAAAAATGAATCTCTCAGAACAAAGACAATTTCCTGATTTAAGGAAGCAAAGAATGTAATTTCTTTCCATGTCAAAACTTTCACAGGGAAAGCCAGAGAACAGAAAAAGCTGGAATTCCTTCTCCCATCTGCACTGCTTCAGAAAAGCGTTCTTGTCACTGAATTTTTGTCACTTGTGCTGGTGCCTCCCACACAGTGTACAGTAGCCTGTTGCCAGCCTAACTTGGAAAGTCCAGTAAGTCCCATGCAAGTGGTTCTACTGGACCCAGCCTGGAGGATACTGGCACACCAACAGCACGGCTGTCACTGTTGGCTCCTGCAATGA